TTTTTTGGTGAAAAGGACCGGCTCAAATGTCCCATGCAGCCAGCAGCAGCTGCTCCTGGACCTCGCCATTCTTCAGCACAAAAGAGGAGAGAGGGCCGAGGTCTCGCTGCCCCTTTGTTTGGGGCCCCTCCTGTCGTTTTCTGCTCTTTGTGTCCATTGATGGGGGCGTAGACGTGTTGGCTGTAGCTTTTTTTTTCTTTCTTTTTTGCCAGAGTTTTGTTTTGGTGTGGGTGTGCAGTGGGTGGAGGTGCGGCACAGGCACATTTAGCCATCTGATCTTCCTCCTCTGCAGCATACAAGGATACGGGCCACTGCTGTGTCACTCAAATCTGGCCTCTAATCTACATTATTACATAAATTATGGTGGCTTTGGACTCATTTCAGTGTTGAAATTCTGCCATGTTGTCTGTAAGGCTAAATGCATACACAGCAATTCGCCGTGTTGAACCAGCAGCAGCTGAGCCAGGCCCTCGAGGGCCTCAACGCTCAATGGAGAAACAGACCCGTGTTTTGGCAACAGCTGGCAGCGCTTCAGCTCTCTGAGTCCACTTTATCTTAACAAGCTGCAACGCTGGACAAAACAGATAATCTCTTTGTCTTCATATTTACTTATAAACACTCTTGTTACCCGAAAGATGAAATTGTCATGCAAACAAATGTATTTTCACTGATTTCTAATTAACTTGTAAAATTGCTGAAGTTTTCTCTGTTACAAATACAAACGAGCTTTGGTTTGCTTCTTTAGATGGTGGCATGTTTACACCGGATCTTTGTGCAGGATTGAGGCCACCGATGAGCAGCGCACCCTTCAGGGGGCCTGCTAATGTAATTAGTGATTAGACTCATTACGAGCCGGAGCAGGTCTGGGCGATTGAGATCACAACCAGAAATTAGCATCAGCAGCTGATGACCGGGGGAACAGGGTGGGCGTTTCTGTCCCGTATGTACACATGCACACAAGCAGCGCAACAGCAGCAGGCGTATGGAAAGGATGAATCAGGAAATTTGCATAGTTTAAAAAAAAAAAGATTAGCATTGTTGTCAGACAGCTACTGATTTCTGCAATTTTGTTTTTTCTAAAGTAAAAACAGTTTAATTGACTTTGGCTTTGGCTAGGGCTCTTAGATTATTCAATATTTTAGGATTTTAGATGCATAAAAGCCTTTATTGTCCAAAAAACCCTAATAACCGAGCAAAGCAAGAAATATAAATGGATTGCTCAATCAAAACTCCAATAAAACAGGAGAACACAGAAACACACACTGAGCCTGCAGCCTGTCATTACCATCTGCTGCAGCTCTCCAGCACTGAAAAGACTTTAGGAGGAGAAGAAAGCTTTTATGTTGAAAGGATACTTGAGAAGCAGCATGCGCCTGCAGCAGCACAGCTCTTAATGGTTGGGTTGAGGCTGAGGGCAGCTGGGTTTGTTTAGGGTTCAGAGAAGCAGACAGAAAATGTACCCTTAAATGTGTTTGCAGGTGTGTTTTAAACCTTTCCAGTTCCAGCCTTAATGTTGCTCTCTGACTCCAGCGATGCTAAGCTATCCCCTGCACATGGCAGACACTGGTTCTCATTTAGCGTATCATAAAAAAATAAAATAAAATAAAAGCACATTTTTCTAAAATGCCCAAAACTGTTTAACTACTTTTAGAGACCGCTCCGTCCTGCTGTGCTCAGACTTCAGATGTGTTTCTGCTGACTGCTCGGCTGGGGGATGTTGTTGTTAGTCAGGATTTGGCTTTGAATGGATGAATGGCAGCAGACTTGTGCCAGGCACAGGGCCACCTCCTCCTCCTCTCTCCCTTTCTCTCTCTGTCATTAAATTGGACAGCAGATGGAGTGAGTGTTGGGTTGGTTGCTGTGGAAATTTAAAGGGCTGATTACGTTTCAGCTGGCCTGGCCCTTTTTTCTTCCTCTTTTTTTTGTGTCACAAAGGGCTGCTGGGTGTGCGTACGTGCACACACCAGAGTGCAACACAGACTGATGAAGCTACTTAGGGTGTAACTGATTTAGATCAACCACTTTTCTTCTTCTTTGGTTTAATTTTTCAATCTTTTAAAACATCACATTAGAAAGCAGATCAGCAGAAAGAGTAAAGACTTAAGTAGCAATCATGGGTGTCTGTGTGTGTGTTTGTGTATGTCATTTGGGGCATGGGGGGCCTGCAGCAGCTGTTGACGCCACAATAGTTCACACTGCAGGCAACATGCAGGTCAGAGCGCCTTTAAAATCTGAATTCAAGCACACAAAAGCTTCTTAAAGGTTCTGAATTGTAAATTTGAGAATGAGAAGAAAAAAGTAGCATGTGCCAGGAGCAGAAGATCACCTCCATTAACCTCCATGCAACCTCTGTGTAGCTGAGTTTTATTGGGCGGGGGGTGTTTTTAAAGAAGGGTACAGGGTACAAAGTACAGTTAGCATGCTGACAAGAGTGAAATAATTTAAAATGTTTGGAGTTGGCAATACTAAATGAGCTAGCCTCAGAAAATGTCATCGGTTCAGTCACTGCAAAGTTTTATAAACACCCTTTTTCTTTCAAACATAAACTTACCTCTGCATAAACTGGCCATCAATTAAATGAGGAGACTAAACTTTAAACAGTTTGGAAAGAATCAGATCAGAAAAGCTTGATGGATTAGGCTGGGAGTGCTGCCTGAATGAGCATTTCCTAGCACGAAATGCTCCAGACAGTTAACCATGTACTTCCATATCTGCTCAATCTAACTTTACACAGAGTTTTTAACCAATAAATTAGCAGTGTATGTGTGAAAATGACGTGAAAAACACATTTTCATCATCTTGCTTAAAGACAACAGAGAAGCAGAGAAACTCTCTGCTAAACGTGTCGCTAAAGATAGCAAGCTAAAGTTAGCTTATGCACAAAATATCGCAAATGTCGATTCTAAGTTGTACAGACAATAAATAAATGTAAGTTAGTTTTATATAGCACATTTAAAACCAATGAGCTTTACAATAAAATAAAAAATATGTAGCCTATTCCTAATTTATGCTACAACATAATTAGGAAAAACTATAATTAGAAAGTTTTAAGTGTGTTAATGGGTGGATTTTGCAGCCACACATTCAGTGTTTTGGCCTGTGACATTTGAAAGGATGCCACAGTAAGTCATCTGAGGCCTCCAGTCTGAACTGAGTTTTACAAATTTGCATATTACCCCGACTTTATTCTCTTCACACTCGCTCCGGGTTGATTTAAGAGTATGTTTTAAAACTGCATCCAGCACACTTATGTACATGAAAATGATTCAGACTATTTATCTCAACTTCTTGTTAGACACATTAGACACAGTGCTGCTCAGTGTCTTCATTCAAAAGCTCAAAATCTGTTTGTTGTCCTTTGTAGAAGACTGAAGCCTTTAAGGCAAACAGAGCCTTTTGGTCTGTGGCGCCAAGGCTCTGGAACAATTTACCACTCCACCTCTGTCTGTGAAGTCTTTTAAAAAATAGTTCACTTCTGTTGAAAAGGGGGATATATAACTAAGTTAAAGGTGTCAAATATGTTTATGTTGTCAAAGTCATCAGTTTTTAAAATAGATGCAGATGTTATTTGCCCGTCTATAGACTGCACTCATTATTTGGTCACATTTAACTCGAGTTTAGGTTCATCATCAACAGGACTTTGTTTTGCTTCCTGTTAAATTATTACAAACTTGAATATCACAAACTGAAAGTTTTCCTTCATAGGTCAAAGTCGGCCTCTCTGGCTATAGTAATAAAACACAAGCTGCTAATAGCTAATCCACTAGGTTTTTAATGTACCAACTTGAAAAAGCGTGATAAACAATATATACAAAAAATACTTTTTAAATCAATTTTTGAGATTAGAGGGTCACCTGATAGCAGCGGTCATAGGAATTTCACACTAAAAGAAAAAACATATTTTGGCATTTGAAGTACAGGAGAAGCTGCAGGCTCACAGAGACAAACTTAATTTGATCTGTAATCATTACTGTAGAAGGAATGAAAACAGCAGATTTAAATCTCTGGCCATGCCAGGTAACGTTAAAATCACCTCACCTCCTCTAGAGAAGTAAATGGATTGGTCTTAGCTGTTTTTCATGTGACTATGAAACTTTTTAGAGGTTTACCATTATGCATCTATTTTTCCCACTTTATTGTTTTTTATCCATCTCGTAACCCCTCCTAATCCTTTACTGCCATAAAGAAATGAGTCTGATAACAATAATCTGAGCTGTGCAATTACATTGTATATACTTGGTTTTCTTAACTTTATTCCCATTTCACTCAGGAGCTGCAGACCTTGCTGAGTGATTCCAGTAAAAGTAAAACTCCCTAAAAGGAGCTCAAAATGTTGCCACGGGAAAAAAATCCAAGTGTTACTGTGTTTCTACTTCAGACAACTGAGACAAAAAATTAAAGAATAGTGAATAAGCAAAGTAGAATTTTCAAATGTTTTATTTGTAACTTTTCATGTGAAAAAATATGCAAGAATTCACAAATAGTTTCGTTTTTCATGAAGTTAAATTGAAAGAGTTTTTGTTTCACACTTCAAGATTTAAAGTCAGATCTTTTTTTTTATTTAAACCTTTTTTTTAAATTCAGTATTAAATATCCAAAGTGAAACCCTTAGATGATTTTTTTCAGAATCTTTTTTTTTTTTGTCATTGTTAAATTTCTAAAGTGAAACCTTTAGAGAATTAAGACAATTCTGGAAAGTGGGAAACATTTCCGCTGACTGCAACTGATGTCATGTTGCTCAGCGAAGAGGACATCCTTAAAAAGTCCCTTTCTAAGAAGGCCTCTCTCTCAGCACCGCTTCTTCTCCTGCTGCGCGTGCTTCAACGTGCGACATTTGCTCTGTGGAATCACAGGACGCAGAAATCGCTTCTCCTTCCTCTCCAAACCTCATCCGCACAAAGAATGAGGGTCGATGCGTCGCTCTTGTGGCATGCCCGACCTCATTCACATAAAGAATGAGAGTCATCTTGGCATGGACGGGACAAGAGGCGATGGTTCACGGGGGCCCCTCGGGCCGGCGCCGTGCTGCCTGGACGGGAATCCTCCTCAGGAGTATCCAGGGATGAGCAGAAACAGGGTCATCCTGTCCATCAGGATGAGTATTTCCAGATAAGAAGCTTTGCAGCATCTGAGCGAGTGAGGAGCAGGTCCCAGATCAGCGCTCGGGGAGGCTGATCTCAGGAACCCAGTCGTTCAGATGCCTGCTCTCCTCACAGAACAGGTGCAGCTTCTGCAGAGCGGGGTCCTCCCAAGACCCGTCAGCCGGGTTCTGATCAAACAGGAAGAGGAAAGCAGATTTAGTCGCACGTTTCTTTTCAGAAAGCACAAAAAAAATAAAAATAAAAAATCAGCCTTGAAATTCTTCACAGTGCTGCTACTGAGCTCTACATACCGTGATGAGGACGCAGTGCGCATCTTCAAACTGTTCCGCCTTGTCCCCAACAATCTCCACCAGACGCTGCATGTCGCTCACTCTGACGATGCTGATGTCGTTGTCGAAGCAGAAGGACTGGATGAGGGTGAAGTGGATCTGGAGGGCGATGTCACACTCAAACTCCTCATCCATGGCCAGGACGCAGAAAGACACACTGTCCGGGTCTCTGTAGTGAAACAAAAATCATCCTGTTAAGCGCTGCTGTTCAGTTTTTATTAACCCTTATGTTAAGAGAAGATGCTAAGGTCACATGAAGTTTACTTACTCAGTCATAATTTTGGCGCTCTCATAGACTCCAACAGTGAGTCGCTCCTCGCTCTGAGCACACAGCAGAGCTTCCTTCAGAGATTTTCCAGGAGACTGCATGGTTAGTTTGTATCTCACAGTTCAGCTGAAGCAGTATCAGAAAGTCCAGAAAAGGCTGTTTGTGCTGCTTCCAGGAGATTGCCAACATTTATACTGCAGACCCGACACGTGCTGACTCTTTCATTGGCTGATTGCAGCACAATGGTAACAAGAGGCCAGCAGCCCCCATCCCACCCTCAGGCACGCGTGCCCATAGAAAAGTCTTAGAAAGTTGGGGGCAGCTTCATTTGAAAGGATCAAATGTAGAAAGCCTGACCTTTAAGTGCTTATTTCAGCTTACAAGAATAATGAAACCACACAGCAAGACCAGACTACTATTGTGAAAGTCCTCAAAGTTTTGAAAGATTAAGAAGCGACTGATAACGCCACTGAAATGCTTAAACGATGAAGCCAAAGGATATTTAAATCTAAAGTATTTCTCAATGCAACTGCACGCTTTCCAAATCATAATATTGTGCTTTAGGGGGGCTTGTTTTAATGCACCCAGTCATTTGCATTCATTTGCATGGAGTTAAATTTACCGGTGTTTGTGGTATCTCACCGAACATCAACAAAGTGTTTGTCAGGTTCATTTCAGACTTTTCAAATCTATCTGTTTCAAACTTGCTCTTTCTTGTGCAATCAGCTAGTTTTAATAAAACTTGGAGTGATCTTCGATTACATCAAGAGTAACAGAGCATTAGTAACTTTGGATGTAACTTTGGTCAAAACTCCTGCATTCTTGCATTCTTGAGGTTCTCCATGTAACTGTTGCTGTTTTGTGCGAATTGATGTCTGCCTGGATCAGTGCAATAAAAAGCTCCAGTGATAACAGTAAGAAGTCTACATCCTTTTGATCCAGTTATGTCATCCATATCATTTCATATTTGCCATTTAAAATGTATTACTCCATTCATCCACAGAGTTTGGGCTCTGAATAAAGCTTTCCTGCAAGGTTAGAATCCTAACACCATTCATCATGTCAAAGTTAACTTCAGATCAGATCTAAGCAAGCTTATAAAGATTATTAAAATGAGCTGAAATCACAGAGAAAGACTTGCTGTTTTAGTTTAACCTTTTGTGGAAATGAATGGGTGGCAGTGGCTGATTGGTTTGGTCTGCTGTTAAAAGATGGATTTTTAAAATCTGAAGACAGAGCATTAGATGTTGAACTGGTTTGTTTTCAAATGATGACATTATATTTTTCTGTATAAATAAAAGGTTGATTTAATAAGCTAGTCAGATAAAGTCTTGTGTACACAAATGCTTCAGTAAATCTATTCGAGACTTGTAAGATATTTTCATGCTTTCACCACTTTTTGAAGTTTTTTAAAAGCTAAATATTTTATTCCTAACTGAAACCGCAGCTGGTGTAAAAATGCAAAGATATAAAAATTTATGAAATATGCACAATGTATATTTGTAAATAGGCGAGAAATGTCCAAATTGTTACTAATGCTGTGGTCAGAACAGCTAAAACACTATTGGAACACCGTTGGACAGGGCCCTTTTAAGACGTCGTAGAAAATTTTCTGGAAGAATAAGCAGAAACTTTCTTAAAAACAGCATCAATGCAGGGTATTCAGCAATGTTTGATGTCAAAATAATCAGATCTATCCACCCTTCTAACTGTACTGACTGTCAGGCAGACTTTTAGACGTCGTGACCAGCTTCACAGCATGAACTGTTTGTTGTAGATTAAGAAATGGCACGGGCCGCTGCTTTGCATGTGTAAAGACTGGCGCGTGGCATCTGGAGATGCCTGCGTGCTTTATCTCTCTACTCTGCATCACTCTCCATAGTAACCGGCAGATACCATCTGTCCCAGGGGGAAGGTAAAGTGAGGGTGAACAAAAGAAGTCACGCAGCACCTGCTGGGCGTAATAGACACATGTTCTACTCCTGCAAAGATTATTTTTGTAAGTTGTGTTTAAAACGCAGAATTGTAGACAGACTGCGTGGATCTACGCTAAATATGATTGTTATGTAATGTGTATCGCTCTCTAACTCAAAAACGTATTTTATCAGTGCAAAAATATATACAAATATTTTGTTTTTATTCACAGAGCTTAAGTCATCTCTGCAAACACTAAAAACACATTTCTGCAAACCTCTGAATTATCTGCCACCTTTGGACATTTCCCTTTATAACGCAGAGGGTGGGCTCTGTTGAGTCGCCGCAGGTCACCAGTAAAGAGCTTTGAACACCAACACCTGTCGCGCACTGCCGGAGAGTCCACCATCTGGCAGATGTGCTTCACCAACAATGGGTTGGTATCGATTTGCACGCGCCTGGCCCGTGGTGATAAGAGCTTATCCTTCCTAAAAGTAGATGTGTGTTTTATTTTGTATCAGCTAGATCCAAATCAAACTTTGGGCCAGATGACGCGCAGATGAGGACTGAAGTAAAAACAAATAAATGACCCTGTTTGCAATAATGCAAAGATAAGCATTTTGTTGTTAAACGAAACACTTGGGGCATTCTCGTCTGATTACAGCTCAAACTGAGAGTGATTTTTATTTGCCTCTACTTGTTTGGGGAGATAGCCTTTTACATTTTGCAAGTTTAGACTGTGAAGTCTCATCTTTGGTATTCTAACTTAATCAAAACTCAGACAACAGACTTGCGAATGTTGAGACATGTCGACAAAAGACAAAAAAAAAAAAGCCCTGGGGTCGAAGATGACCTAGGTTTAGGAGAAAGAGAATGGGGGCTTGGAGAAGGGGGGCTTGGAGGAGGGGGTCCCCTCATAGCGACAGTTCTCCATCTGCCACTGTGCCTTCCATAGAACAATAGTGCTGAATCAATCACCACCGACCTGTGTCTGCACCTCCAACCCCCTGCGCAATTTACGCAGCAATGGCAGCAGGTCTGACCTGATGCAAGATGTGTTTTGGATTATTATGCAGATGAAATGGCACCAAATAAGAGAAGAGAAACGGCACTAGAAGTGAACCGAATGAGGCAGGATCGTGCGTAAAAGTTTCGGAGTGAAAAGAAGTTGTGGATAATAATAAAACCAGACACAGGTCAGGTTACTTGAACTGGATACTAAAAATTACCAAATAATGACAATATGTTACATTGAAAGTGCCTAACGCGTGGAGCAGGTGAAATGGAGTCCTGCGTAAAAGTTTGTCGGGACCACTTAAATCGCAAATGAAAGCATTTAGTGGAACTATGGGCCAAATTCCAAGGAAAATAACTTTTAAAGCTATTTCTGCGTAACTCGCGTGGCTCCTGAACTCCCCAGAGTAAATAAATAAAACCCGAGGAAGGAAGGATTTGGGGGCCAGCTGATGGCCACGTGGTTCGCGTGGGCCAGCACTGCAGATTGTGCAGCACGCACTGCGTTCTGGCACGCGCTGATGATTTGCATTTGTATAGAAGACCGTGACAATAGAGGAGCTTCTGTGCTTACAATGGGGCAGTTTTATGGCCAGCCTCTACTCCACAGATGGCATCATCCACCTGCCCTTTCTCTGCTGCTGAGAGGGAGGAGGGGAGCTTCACACTTTCGCCATTCTGCTACTTAGATTCTATCAGAAAAGTATAAAATGAAGGAAAAGGCATTAGAAGTTTGTCTGAGTTCAAAAAATGTTTTAGTAAAGTTCACAAAGAAGTTTGTGGGGCTAAAAGTGTCCATAAGTAACCTTTGCAAAGATTTCCGAGTAGCTATATGCGCATTTTACTTCAGTTTGTAGTTTATTATGAGTACATGTAAAAAGACAGGTGCACGATGTGTCACTGCAACTTGAATCATATGCTGTGTTTTGAGTGCGTTGCACCAAAGTGCTGCAGAGTAATCAAACGCTTTCTGTAATATAATTAAGCAATTTTTAGCTTGCAGGGCAAGCTGCTGCGTGCGTGCAGCCGGGGGTGTGAGTGGCTCGATGACCCCCATCAATCTGCCACGAGCCGGAGTGTGACAATAGCATTATCATACCAATACACCATTCAGCTTTAGCCAATCAGGGCACAGAGCTTTCACTGCGCCGCACGAGCTGCAGGGTATAAAAGAGAGTGACCGCGGCTGTGAAAGCACTCTGCTCTCTCTGCGGATTTACTCTTCAGACTTTCTCGAGCTTTTCCACAGCGGAATATCCTCACAGCCTTCATCATGACTTTTGAGGAGGTCCTGATCCAGAAACCCACCGAGCGTGCTCAGTGCGCCGGCACTGCCCTAGAGGAGGTCCTGGTGACCGCCAAAGACAACGACTCCCTCACCGTTGGTGTCTACGAGTGCGCAAAAGTTATGAACCTGTAAGTATGAGACTGCTGGAAAGATAAAGTTTACTACGTGTAAACTCATTTAAACGCTGATTTATTCAGTTGTGGGTAGAATCTCATGGATTTTGTTCTTTAATGTCCCCACAGAGACCCGGACAGTGTGTCTTTCTGCGTCCTGGCCATGGATGAGGAGTTTGAGTGTGACATCGCCCTCCAGATCCACTTCACCCTCATCCAGTCCTTCTGCTTCGACAACGACATCAGCATCGTCAGAGTGAGCGACATGCAGCGTCTGGTGGAGATTGTTGGGGACAAGGCGGAACAGTTTGAAGATGCGCACTGCGTCCTCATCACGGTATGTAGAGCTCAGTAGCAGCACTGTGAAGAATTTCAAGGCTGATTTTTTATTTTTATTTTTTTTGTGCTTTCTGAAAAGAAACGTGCGACTAAATCTGCTTTCCTCTTCCTGTTTGATCAGAACCCGGCTGACGGGTCTTGGGAGGACCCCGCTCTGGAGAAGCTGCACCTGTTCTGTGAGGAGAGCAGGCATCTGAACGACTGGGTTCCTGAGATCAGCCTCCCCGAGCGCTGATCTGGGACCTGCTCCTCACTTGCTCAGATGCTGCAAAGCTTCTTATCTGGAAATACTCATCCTGATGGACAGGATGACCCTGTTTCTGCTCATCCCTGGATACTCCTGAGGAGGATTCCCGTCCAGGCAGCACGGCGCCGGCCCGAGGGGCCCCCGTGAACCGTCGCCTCTTGTCCCGTCCATGCCAAGATGACTCTCATTCTTTATGTGAATGAGGTCGGGCATGCCACAAGAGCGACGCATCGACCCTCATTCTTTGTGCGGATGAGGTTTGGAGAGGAAGGAGAAGCGATTTCTGCGTCCTGTGATTCCACAGAGCAAATGTCGCACGTTGAAGCACGCGCAGCAGGAGAAGAAGCGGTGCTGAGAGAGAGGCCTTCTTAGAAAGGGACTTTTTAAGGATGTCCTCTTCGCTGAGCAACATGACATCAGTTGCAGTCAGCGGAAATGTTTCCCACTTTCCAGAATTGTCTTAATTCTCTAAAGGTTTCACTTTAGAAATTTAACAATGACAAAATATTCTAAAACATATATAGAAAACAACAAAATGTCTATATTCTAAAGGTTTCACTTTAGAAAATCGCTCAATTAACTTAACGTCATGAGAATTTGTTAGTTTATCCTATAAATATTTTACTATGTAGCCTGTAGTGAAGACAAAAAGAAAATAAAATTTGACTTAATGTGTTTGATCTTTTTGAGGCAATGCTGGAAACTAACTTGGTGTTAACTTATCAGCTGTTTCAAACATTATTGGAAGCTGTAAGTGGAAAATACTCAATAAAACTTGAAAGATGAATTTTGCGTTGTGTTTTCACTTGCAGTTGCAAAACTCTGTTTTTTGTGCTTTTTCGGGGTGTTTAGAGGGAGGAGGGCTGAAACTAACACAAGCTTTAAACTCCCTTTGGGTGGAGAGACGATACGGCCTGACATCTGAGGGAGGAGGGGGCAAACACATTCAGGCCCTCCTCCTCCAGACTTCATCTGCATATGTATGGCGCAGAGCACAATAGCGGGGCTCCCGGCCTGTCAGCTCCAGCGGTCCGAACAGAGTGCCTATTGTTTAGCCCGCAGATGTCTTCCCTGGCCACGCCGCGCCATCTGCTGCTTCCTGCAGGTTGGGGTCGGACAGGGCAGGGCTGGGAGGAGTCGGAGGGGTTAGTCAGTACAGTGCTGAGTGAGGTCTGGCTGGTTTGGGCCGGTTTTGGGGAGAAGAGAGGGTGGGGGTCCTGACTATCTATGGTATCCTGCCAGCTGCTGTCGGGACTATTATTTACTGGCAGGCACTTGGTGAAACTTTGGTAAACACAGCACAAAGACAGGAGATCCGCTGTGTTTGGGTGCAGCAGCAGAACCACCTGCTCTGCCTTTAAAATGAAATCTGCATCAGGCACCGCTCCTTACTTTAGTTACACTTTCGTGAACAGGGCATAAGCGTTGTCTCTCATTTAATGTACGTCCCATTCTCTCTCTCTTTTTACAGCTTTTATATTGTCTGTTGGGCTTTAGAAAAAAAATATTTTATGTGTTTAAATATTGCTAAAAAGTAATAATAAATGACTGAAAACACACATTCCTTCATTGATTACTACCTTTGTTTAATTTCATTAGGCACTTCCATGTTTATTTAACATTTAGGGTATTCCAAACAGTGCAGAAGGTGACTGGGGCATTGCTGCAGGTTGACACCTGAGTTGCATTAGGAGGAGTGAAACAAATTTATCAAAAGCTAAAAACTGTAAAAGCTACAAGTCATTTAAAAATGTTCCTGTTTGTTGCAAGTTGGTATAAAATAAGTCTGTGCAAAAGCAGTGCTTTATTATGAAAGCACACATAACTTGGAGGTGTGCCTGAGGCCCCTGTAGGCCCGGAGCCCCTCCCTCTTGGGGTCTCTCACCATCCCTCGGACTACTGGGGGAGAGTCGCAGCCCTTCTTCTTCTGGGCCTGGTGAAGCAGGATGCGGTAGACCCCGGTGACAGGACTCCGGCTGTCTTTCAGCGGATTGTTTTGCAGGTGCTCTGCGGTAAAGCCAAGCTTCTCCAGCGAGCTTCTGACCTCCTCCACTTCCTCTTCCAGGCTGGTGTTCTCCGAGACCATCAGGCTCCGCAGGGTGGTCATTGAGTCGGAAGGGAGAAATGACCAGGGGAACTCCACAGGTAAGAGCCAATCACAACCCAGCATCTGGTCGATAGCATATCGTTCACTGGGGACCAGCTTCAAGATGCCTTTTATGAGCCTCTGACAGGGGCCTGGCACCCAGGGGGGGATGGTGTAATTGCCTTCAATGACGCAGCGCCGCAGCTTGCCCATGGTTTCGGCACGGAACGGCATGGTGCCGGTCACCATGAAGAAAAGCAGGACTCCCATTGCCCAAACATCTACCGGAGGCCCCAGGTAGGACTCATCCCTGAAGAGCTCTGGGGCTGCGTAGGGCGGCGAGCCACAGAAGGTGTCCAGGGCATTGTTGCAGTTTGACATCTGCGTGCTGAATCCAAAGTCAGCCACCTTCACGCAGCCGTCGATGGTGAACAGGACATTCTCTGCTTTCAGGTCCCGGTGGATGATGTTGATGCTGTGCTGCAGAGCAAAACATAAAGAGAAGGTTGGAATTTCAAACTGTAAAGTAAATGTGAGGTTAGACTTTCACTATTAAAGTTGCATCTGTTAAAAGGCTTTTGGGAATTTAGATGTACAGCTGGATGGCTGTAATGAATTATAATTTTAATGGTGACCAGTTCAGTGACCGCACAACTTTAACATTGTTTTGGAACACAAAAAAGTGCTCTGAGCAGACCTGCACCTAAGCTGCCCAGGTTACAGCTAAACCCACAATCACCCTGAAAAAAATCTAAAGTGAAAATTAAAATATTCACTCCAATGGTTTAGATAACTGGGTCAGCACAAAGGCTTGTTTATAATCATGTTTTTGCATGTTTTTGATGTATGTCTCCATTCTCCATTCCAAGATTTCATCTAACGGACCCAATTTTCATTCTTCTAATGCAACCTGACTATAAGAGTTGAGTGTGAGTCACTAAAATAATATCTTATACAATAAGATAAGGAAAGAACCCTTTTATGAATAAATATGAGATATATATTGGATCTTCATCAGGTCTTCATCAGGATTTTCCTGCAGAGAAAAAAAATTGGGACTTGCCAAAGAGGTTTTATTCTTTCCCTAAAATAAAATCACCAAGACTGAAATAAAAATATTAAGCAGGATTTTATTTACTGAAGCATAAAGTGCATCGGGTATTTCATGGCCAAAAATAACAGTACATTTCCTCATGTAAGGTAGCACAGACTTGATGCCACTGTCATGATCCTGGATATTTGACCCAGTGCTTCTGGCTTTAGACTCTTTGTTGTAGTTCTTTCAGTTTTTTGCGTTCTTTACAGTTATCCCCCGGATGGTTTCCAGTTTCCTGGCAATGTCAGATGTTCCTTTGTTTGGTTACTTCCTGTTTTATTTTGCTAGTCTCTTGTCTCCTGTGTGTTTAGTTTTGATTCCTCTTTATGTCATTACCGGTAGTTTGATTCTGTCCACCTCTCTTTATTTTTCCAGCCGTGTTCTTTATCTATAATTACCCACCTCGTGTGTGTATTTAAGCCCTGACTTTGTCATCAGGTCTTTGTTGTGTCATTCTGGTTTTTCCCTGGTGAATGTCCTGACTTTTAACCTTTGTTAGTGTGCTGATGTATGTAAACAGATCAAGATGTTTTTGGTGTTTTTCCAGTCAGGAAAAACACCAAAAACATCTTACAATACATACATGTCATGAGGGGTTATGTTTTTATTAAAATACCTTATATAATAAATGCATAATGATAAACTAAAATGAACCGTGAAGCTGATGAAAATGAACCAAAACAAGCAAACTCACACTAGAAATTTACCAAATAAAAGAAAAGATAAAATTTCAAATTTTTTTTTAAAATGGGTAAAATTATAACAGCTCTGTGTCAGACATGGTGGGATTAACTGTTAGCTGATCTTTGACCTGCCAGCTTCTCAGTAAAAATCCAGTTTGCGTTCCTGTGTGAACAGGGCAGGTTATAATCTGGCTTATTCACAGTGAGCCAGCGTCTGTCATGTGTCCTGCCTCCTGCACGCTCTACCCAGGCAGCTCCCTCACCTTCAAACCAAACAGAGGACTGCCAGCAGCCATGACACATCTGAAGCAGATGACATCTTGTGTGTGTCTCACATGTGAGAAGGTGTGACTTCACTGAGCACATAACTAAACTGCATGATGGGAAACACAAGCAGCATCTTGCTCTGAAAGCTTTCAACATCACTGACCATATGTTTGATGGCAGAGAGGATCTGGGCGAAGGTGATCTTGCTGGCATTGTCTGACAATTTTCCCTCGCTGCATATCCTGCTGTGGAGGTCTCCTCCTCCTGCATACTCCAGCACCAGGTGGAGGCGTCTCGGCGTTTCCACGACCTCGTACAAACGGATCACATTTGAGTGGTGCAGGGCCTCCATGCTGCTGATCTCCCTGGAGAGAAGACGCTGGGCTTCAGCATCCAGCCTCGTCCTATCCAAGATCTTCAGAGCCACTTTGTCTGTGAAAGATTGGACAGAATGATCGTGTCATGGTAACATAACTCCAGAGAAGGTGTCCATGACATCAGAGGCTGAAAGTCGAACAGAAACTAAAAGCTTACACAGAAACCGGAGTGCTTTTGCATTGCATGGAGATACATGGAGAGAGTAGTTAAATTAATCGGGAAAAAAATGTCTTTAACTAAAGAAGTGACTGCGAGCAGAATTCTTTTATTAAATTTATAACATATAAAAAGATGGTGTTAATTATTAAGTAATGATCAAAAAGTTAATAAAGGGTTAGCTTGCTGAAGGTAAACCTGAAATCCCAATGTTTGAAATTGTTTAGCTTAAAGCAGGATAAGATGAAAAAGGACTGGCATCACCAGAACAGCATGTTTATATTATATAATATATAATCAGCTGCAGTTGATTGGTCCTCTTAATTAATTTATCCAGATGAACCACCAGATATCAGCTGCTTTTCAGACTTGACTCCTTGGAATAGAAAAAGTTTAACCAGGTGCATAGTGGAAGGCAACCTGTCTTTGAACATTTGCAGACCAACACAGATGGCAATCAGTCTCAGACAGATTGGCAACTGTTTGCAAATAACTGCCATCTAATTTATAAAAAAATGCTAACATGTTTCAACCAATATGAGTCGGTCTTAGGCAATAAGTGCAACTCAGCTGCGACATGTCTCTTTGCAATAGCAGACTTTTCTCAACTGTTTGTCAGCTGGTTGTATTCTGGTTATATTCCTATGTAAAAGCAGGTCTTTCCAAGCACTTATGCCATTTAGCAGTTTAAATATCTAAATTTCTGTTTCAAATCTACGAGATTCTGGCTAGAGTCAAAATAATTCATATGAATTTCTGTGGATGAAGACGGCAACAGATTTTCACAGTTAAATGTTGTATTATCACAAACAAAATTACATGTAATTGTCAGTTGGACCCCATTCAATTCCCAATCGACAGGGGACTGATTGTTTCATTCCCATTGCCCTTCCTTCTTATTGCTTCCCATTGCAAGTTGCTTTGAAGATGGCAACTAACTGCGAGTGGTCACAGACCTGGCCATTTGAAAGGCAGCAATTTTGCAGTAACCTGTTTTCTCTAGCAGTTCTTGTGGTTCTAGTGGTTCAACCAGCATTAGCAGTTTTAAGTCATTGGATTTGTGCTTAAATGTTGAAGGTATTTATAATGATACAATCTGTTTGTGCTTTGCAAATGTGAAAATCTCCTCAGCTTAACTTTGCTGTATGTTGAATGTGTTTGTGGTGGACTGTTTTGCAACACATTCAAAGAGAAGCTATCTCAAGCTATGTGAATAATTGGATGTTTTCAGGTCAGATTTCTGCCACCTGTCCTGAAACGACTCAACACATCAGGTTTGGAATCAGGTTGCAGCTGTTCTGCTGCTGTAGTTCAGTAATTTCTCCTTTTAACTGAGCAACTAATCAGCATCTGGTGCATTGGAAGCTTTATAGATGAGTTTAAATTTGGAAACTGTGTTGCATAAAATTGCTCATTATTGCATGAGCTGTGTTTGGTTCTCAGTTTCAGGCCCATCAAACATCAGACGTGTGTAGTCTTTAAAAAAGGTTTTCAAGTGTTGTCAACAAAGGGCTGCAACCAGTTTAAACCTTGCATATCCACACTCTATTCAAGCTCTGCTTTGATAGGGTTGAGTCTGAGACAGAGGCAAAGGAAGCAAAGGTAAAATATAAGTGAAGATTATCTTGAAGATTCAGAATATCCATCTACCTCTCGTCAGAGCGTGGAAAGCCAGTTTGACCCTGGAGAATGTCCCGTAGCCGATCTCCCCGCGGACCATATAGAATCCAATTCTGCGCCCTATGATCAGCTCCTTGATGGTCTGCTCGTCCTTGCACATATCTCTGGTGAGCTTCTCCAGGGGAGTGAGGTTGTCTGTCTCCTCATCCTCAGGCCCAGCATCAGAGCTGTCCGTCAGGCTGTAGAGGCTGTGGTGGAGCCTGGCGCTCGCCACCTGGTACTGGCCTCCAGGCATTTCTGCAGCAGGCTGAAGATAGTGGTGGAGTCATTAACAGTCCATCTTATGTAAGTTACAGTACAGAGGAGCATATAGAAGTAAACTAGAGGGACAAAGGTGTTGTTTTTTACTTGATTCCTGATATTCTCTATAAATTTCCCCAAAAGAACCACTATTAAGTTTTGACACTTATTTCACTGAAACCAAATTGCTCAAGTAAAACATTAATTAAATCTGCAACGTATACATGTTTTATACTGTTTTAGAAGCCTAGTAGTGAAATGGTTGCAATAAAACAGTAACACACACAAATAACTACAATGAGAAATTTTCTTACCAAGTTTCTGCATCAAACCATGGCTGCAGAGCCCCTTGCAAATGATATTAAAAAAGGGGGTTATTTTTTCTGTACAGAACCCTAAAAAATGTCTTCAGAGCAGCGTTGTCATGGCCTCGCTCTCTTCTCAGTCCTCTAAATCAGATGACTACACACTCATGGCAAATCACATGCAAGGCAGCGTGGTAGGGGGAGCGTCACAACGATTAGTAAAGTGTTCAGTCAGTGTGGGCATCTCTGGCCACACCCCTCACCTTTGCTTATCTTCAGCCTCTTTTCATGTCCAAGAAACGAAAGCTTAAGATGATGCCATGACCTCTAATCCTGCTTTAATCTGAGTCTGCCCCAGTCCTTTCATACAGCTAACATCAATTCAAACATCAAAAAAGGGGCCATAAAACAGATATGCACAAATAAGTTGTTTTTAGAGTTTATATGATCAGAATGCGGATTTCATGTCTAACATAATACACCTGTGCAACTGACATGCATGTGCTATCTAGGTAAAGTTGATCTCTTGGATTTTGTGAAGATGAAATGTTATGCAACGGCATTAGCAAATGTTCCCATAGAGATTAGCTCTCCGTCCCCTTTAGATGCTGGCAGAACAGCACAGATAACGAGATTAGAAAGGTCAACGCCTCAGCAGGCATGAGCATCTTCATTCAGGTATGTCATCCCTGTGTAGAGTAGTGGAAGGACATTAATCAGCAGACAGCAGTCAAAAACCATGCAAATGTACAAAATCATAATTATTATACACACTGCTCAAAACCCCCTCAAAAAACAACACTGCCAAAAATAAATCATGCTGGATATTTATACTGATATGTGCTGGGTAACATGTTAGGAATAAAAGGATAAATAATCAGCCTGCAGAGGGCTGAATTCAAAAACACCCTGCAAATCAAAGTGAAAATGATGCAGCAGGCGAGTGGATATATGAACGTGTGAAGTTTTATTTTTACTGTGCAAAAGATGGAATCGTGACACTAAGGGCTAAGGCTAACATAAAAGCTAGTAGCAAATAATCTCCATCCAACCAGCCAAAGCTTGATTTCCAGCAATTAATCGAAGCAGTGCTGAGCAGACAGGCTTGTAGCACTGTAGCCTACCTGTAACTGTTTCCACGTGTAAACCGCTGTGAAGTGCTCTTACGGCTCATTTTCACCAACTTTGTTATTGGCTTTGTGTTACTACTTAATGCTTTCTTTTTTAAAGAAGCTGACAATATGTCACACTGACAACACCCATGCTGTTCACACAATGATACAGGAAGTATAAATTGCTGTGTCATCTACTTTATTCTAAACAGAGCTGCAATTTATAAAAGAAAAAGAAGAAAAGATTTGAAACAGAGGAGCTGTGCCCGATGTTTCACTGGATCAACTGAAGTTTTTTTAATACACATTTTCTTACACAGTCTATGATACACACAAAACATTAGCTTATGGCAAGACACTCTGCTAGTTGAAGACTTCTGTCAATTAATAATGCTCAGAACAATAAACCACAGAGAAAATGCATCTATATGAACACAAAGAGAACTCAGTGTGAATTACAATAACCTTGAAAAAAGGGGGATAAGTACTATTAATGATTTCTTTGAATGAAAACAGATAAACAGATTTACATCCTTGAATCAGACTGCCCTTTCAGCCAATTCATTCACAATCGCACTACTCCACCTACACTCTCTCCCTCCATCCTTCCCTGCAGGCGTCTAATTGGATTAAATCCTTAGACAGGAATACAGCATGTGTTTGTACTTTCTTTACACTGGTCACCTGCAAGAAGAGCACTGGACTTGCAGTCAAATCTAGTCACACTGCACAAGCACCAAGTAAATGTCCTGTTGAATATGTAAGATTGGAAATTTCAGAATGCTCTATGGGAATCATGCACGTCCACTGGCAGGTCAGCAGCTCGTTAGCCTCTAAACAAATTAAATCTTTCTTCTCTTTGGACGGCTGTCCAGGATGCTGCTGGCACGCTGATTCTCTTCCAGCTCTTTCATTCTCTGACGCAGGGCAAAAATCTCTTTGTTCTTTTCCTCCTGGAAAAACTGCAGCTTCTGAGAAAAACATAAAAAGACATACAACACACTTCTGAAAACACAAAATCACTGCTGACCTATAAAACACGCCCTGTAAATACTAGCTTCTATTCTTCAGATTAATGCCAGGTAAACGAGTTTAAATGAAAAATCTAGTCTGCCATGTGCTTTGCACTGAGTGGCTTCAGCAGCCACTCAGTGATATTTTCATTGCTGTTCATGATTTCATGCCTTTTGAAATTATTTTCTTATTCAATCATTTAAAGCCCAAAATGTAAGAAAACACATAACTGAACGGTTTCCCCCCCTAATGAAATAAATTTTGAAATCATAATAATGAAAATTTTGGTTAGCAGTTTTCAACAAAACACACAAAACCCTGTCTGGGATTTATGAGATACCAAAAATAACCCAAGCATTAGACATTTTTTCTGTAATATAAAATGAGCAACCAACTACCCCACTTGAAGGAATGTTTTTGCTAAGTGGCTAAGTACACTCACTGACTAGTTTACAGAGTACATCTACTGGTTATTGCACATATCTGACGTGCCAAACACATGGGAGCACCTCGGTGCATTTTAGCAATGTACACACAGTCAAGATGACTTCCTTAAGTTCAAACCAAGCACCAGAATGACTCAGAAAGGTCATTTAAGTGAATTTGAATATTGGATGGTTATATCTAGTGTGCATTTTCTGTATTCAACCAAGGCAGAAGCGCATCTCTGAATGTAGATGGAGGACGGTGACACAAGGTGACACCGCTGCCATCTAAGAACAGGAACCTGTGGCTACAGTTCACAGGGCTCCCCAAAACTGAGCAATGGAAGATTGGAAAAACGCCTGGTGTGATGAGTATTGTTCATACCAAACTGGTATACCTAATAAAGTGGACAGCTAGTGTTAACCTGAAGGAGGTGTTTGTGACAGTCAGCATCAAGATTAACTGTGGTGCAGTTCATTTATAGCAATGAACCTAAAGTTGCCATTTCACTTCTTGGAGTTTAATTTATGCTTCAAAAATGATCCAGCTGACACTTTCGGGGTAAAGACATGCCCATGTTGAAAGCTGAGTGGTCAAATAAGACTAGAAAAGCAACGTATACAGGCAGTCAGCCTACCATTTAAGTGGGAATTTATGTCTGTTAAAGCATTACAAAGGCTGATAAAGCTTACACAGCATACCGGGAAGCAGCCTGATGACTTAAAACGTGTAGACTAACAAGATAAGATTTCTAGTTAAGACTTAATGGACTTTGCTCTACTCTTAGTTGTAGTTTCTATGAGAAGGATACATCAGTACATCAGTAACAGTTACACACATGGTGTTTACTCACCTGTGCTTTTGGAATACGGTAAATCACACCAAAACACTCAGTTACAACAGTTTAAACAAGGGGGTGTAACAGGTTCTGTGTGGGCTGCTTACCCTTTTAAAGACACTCTGAGGAAGGTTTGGGCCATGTTGCTGCTGCTGCTGCTGTTGGCTCCACTGAGCTGAACTCTGAACTCTGGCTAACTTTGCACCAAACTGCCAAAAACACAGAGCAAAACAATGAGCTTGTAACTGAAACTAGACACTCAAAACCAAAGCAGAGTTTATTCTTATTTCAAAGATTTAGACTCCTGCTCCTGCCTGTGTTCTTAATATTATTCATTAAAATCACACACAATTTAAACCTGATTATTAAACATCATAAATATATTAAAAGCAATGACAGATATTTATGTAGATCTATGTTAATCAAATTAAGTATGATGGTTACAATTTCAATTATGTTATTTTACCTCCATCTGTAACTTGAGTAGCTCGTTCTGACTCTCCTTTTCCTGATCTTTTAGTCTCTTCTTCATGTCCTCTAGATCCAGATCCTTTTTCTCCAGCAGCTTCTTACATTCAGCATCTTTAGCTTCCACTGAATAAAACAAACCACAGGCAGATTTCTCTGATTTTGTCAGTAAAAAACTGATGTAAAGTAAGGAAACTTCAACAGATCTGTTGTTAGCTGTCCGTGTTGTGCAATAGGACTCAAGGACCATAAATTATATAAATAATGTGTCAGTATTCCCTGAAACATTACATAACATCTCCACTCTCACTTATTCTGAGTCTTACAACCCCCTCATGCACTCAATGGAGTGTGCTCCCATTATGCATATAAGAGCTCAAGGCTGTCAAATTGTGAGATAATTCGCTTGATGCTTTGTCTCACTCTGTCTACAGCCATAAAAAGCAATCAATCAACAAAACAAGTGCACGTGTTCACAAAAACATTTTTTAGAATCAACAAAACTAAAGATTTCCTGCAAATCTGAGCAAACTGTAAGTTGTTTGATGCCTTTAACAGTTTCTGCAGAGCTTCCTGATCAGAGTAGCGAGCATGTAGCTAAATAAGAGGGAGAAGCAAAGCCTCTGCAGACTTTATTAAAGCTGCACTGAAATGTCTAAATGCACATCATAAAAAGATAGACTATGAAAGGATTTTGCAAGCTGACAATGCTTTTTTTGTGTTGGTGTGTCTGCAGGCAATGCGATTTAGGTATCCCATTTATCAGACAGTGTTTGGAACTCTTCCATCCTACTTGTTCTCATACATTTGTTGTAGCATGTCAGGGTGCAATGGGTTCATTGGACATGAACCAGTGTCTCAGTGCACTGAGCACTCTGTGAGGCCTTACACTGACTAAAATACTCCCTGTGGGCATCTTCCACCTCCCTGCCACACTGCTGTCTTAGATCCTCTAGCGCCCTCTTGTGTCTCCCTTCTTCTGCTCTCATTTCTCTGATCAGCCGCTGAACTTCAGCTTTTCCAACCTGATAACAGCATACAAAGGCTGAAATTACTGCTGCGCAAAGTTTTAGCACAGGCTCCGACAGGCTCATACCCCTCAGATGTTTTCACTTCTAAAGATTTCCTCTCAATATACTCAAACCGAGTTTGATCGACAGCTCTGTCACTTGCAGGCATATTTTTGTATTTAGATAACATTGACACACTTATCATGATTTATTATTGTTATTATTACAATTAATAATTAAAGTTATAAATTTGGGTAAATCCAAGCATAGCTTCACTTGTTTCATACTTGGCAATAGAGTGCACTACGAAGCATGTGTGACCTGCCCAGGCTTTCTTTGCCTCTAACAACAGCATCAATAAACGCTGTTGTTGAAGGCAAAGAAAGCCCATGGCTCCGAAGAGATGTAAAGAATATTTTAAAAGTTGTTGCAGCAAAATGAAACACTGGTGATCCAAATAATGCAGAAAGAAAACTCATAATCTTGTACAATTTGATTATTATTATTATTATTATATTTTACCTCTCTGTGCACTCTCAGTGACAGCTTCACTTTACACCTCTTAAACTTTAATCATGATATTTTTAACATCATATGCTACGCATTAAGAAGTAAAAAGTAATTTCATTATTAAATATTCTGTGACAAAATAGGCTGATCAGTTCTCTAACCTGTCTGCTATTTGCTACAACAGCACAATGGGAAATTTCTTTACACTACTTGGCTCTAAGAAAAGTAATTATTAAAACACTTGTACAAAGCAACCTTTAAATCTGAAACAAACCCAAAGCCTCTGTGAAAACACATTTATGTGCGTTCTGCATCATCTGCCGAACGCTCTATTGCAAATTTCTGGCACCCTGCTGCATTGCTGTTCACGACAAAAAAGAGAAATTGATTTATGACTTTTAGATAACATGGTGCAATCCCAACGAATACAACACCGCAGCAAACTTCTGCTTAGCCAAACACAACAGATTGACAGCCAAACATGTCAACATCATATTGTAACATCTATACTGGATATAATCCAGGAAAAGGCACCTTCCTGCCTCAAGGTGTCTTGCATAGAGGCAGCATCAACTACATCCAACAGCAAGACTGAACAAGACTGCCACATTACATGATCAAAAAAACCAAAGGAGAAAGTAAAATGTGCAGGTATAATTCTGTGTTTCTCACTTGACCAACTCTAGGAAAAGCTTTGTATCATTTCTATGATAGATGTTCATCAGTTTAACCCTCTCAAGGCAGGCGTTGCCGATTTGCAACAGTTAAGAACTAACAACCGGATTAACCCACATACATATTTTATGAGGTTTTTTTACTCAGAAGTACCACTGCAGGACTTGGTTGTGCATTAGCAACAAAAAGTTTAATTTGAGCCTGAGAGGGTTAAGTTCCTTCACTCATCATAAACAGCTGAACAGGTTCTCAGACGTGCTCAGTCCTGTATGCTGAGGTGCTCAGACGTCACTAATGTCGGTCTTCGTGTTTCTAGCACCACCAAATTTATATAAAGTATTGAAAGTACTGAGCCTAGACTGCTTATGAAACACATGAGCACCACCACATAAACAAGATAAAGAAAGATTCGGCCCAACAAGACATGATCTGCTTGTTAAATTTGTATTTTCAAAACTTTGAAAAGAAAAATCTAACACAGAGAGCATATTGGTGGTAAGACCATTTGTGGCAAACAAAAAGTGTCAACTTACAATGGTCTTTAAACCAAACTCGTTTTCATAACCTGAAAACCTACTCTGGATATGTGTTCAGCATATGTTATTATGGAGATTTAGCTAGGTAGAAACACTCTATGTACCTGATAAACCCTTTAGTTTTGCTTTGTAGCCTAACAGTTTAGGTCTAAGGAGCCAGAGTGATTACAGGAAACACCTGTTGCTTGCTCCTACTTCTGTTCGTACCTCTGCTGTTCTCTCATTCTGCTGTTTCAGATCTGCCATATCATTCTTGAGTCTCTCATTCTTCACTGAAACATGAAAAAGATGATATGGAGTCATTTTCAGTTGATTATCACCCTATCAAAAATATATAAAAATATAAAGGTTTTACATATCAAGACATAATAAAAATTATTTAGTCCTTATTTAGTGCACATCGCAGCAAATTCCCCCACAAATCAGACCATGTAATGCTCAGAGAAACCGCAAACAACCCAGACAAGCCTTATTTTCACATTTCAAATGTTAAAGTTCGTGACATACAATCAGAAAAAGACTGAACGAGTATGGCTTGTTTGGAAGGGTTACCAGAACAACCCACATGATTTCTTGAACACTGGTTTTTGGACAGCCAAGACCAAAGTGAAGATGTCTGGCCATGATGTGCAGTGTCACATTTGGAGAGAACTAAACGCAGCATCTCAATAGAAACACCTCAGGGTTGATGATTTGGGCTTCCTCTCCAGCATACAGGACCAAATGTGCAGCCATCTCTGCGACAGCTAAAGTTTATCCAAAACTGGATACTGAAACAAGGCAGTAATCCTAGAAGAAAACAATTACTTCAAGTTCTTGCTACTAAAACTTGTTCTACAAACTGCACAGGGTGCACTTAGTCTTTAATACAACATTTCTGCATTCTGGTTTAGTTCTTAAATAAATAACAACACAATATAATATGTCACTAATATGTCACATGTATATACCTCATTTGAAGACCTGCTAAGAACTATTATATTATTATGTCCTGATATGTAAAACGTTAGAGCTGACAAAGGGTACCTTTTTTTGCTGTATATATGTGTATGTGTGTTTGATATGTTATTAGAGATACCTCTGAGGTTGCACTGCTCCTGCAGAGTCTGCTGCAGTTTGTTCACTGTGAGAAGAAGGCTATCTTTTTCTGAAAGAGGTTCAGAAACAAAGTCTACTTTCATGCTCCAAATACATATATAAAACAGAAATTAATTTAATAATTTACAGAAAAAATCCCCAAATATTTAAAATGTTTTTCTTCTGTAAAGTGAATCGCTACCAAATCCGGCTTGTTATTAATATCCGCCAGATGGTATTTTTCTATGACATATGTGGAATTACAATGCTGGATACTGATATGAAATGTGGCTAAAATGTCAAATAATGAGATCAACAAGTTATAACATCTCACTTCATAAAGAGGATGAACCCAGGGCCTTCACCAAGGCCAATATAAGCTGAATAACGATTATTTTTATATACGAATCATACAGCACTACTCCAGTAGGGCCCGATGAATGCAAAACCACCAGCAGAGGGAAATGTTATTAAACTGAATGATAGGTTTTGAGTTTTAACACTCACCCTCAATTAGGCTCTTCTCCTTGGTCTGGTAAAACTTCACCAGTCTATTAGCATCCTCCAACATGATCTCCAACATGCTGTTTCTGCCATTAACTTCAGTTATGTTCTGTTTAATAAAGATCCAGAGAAAATACTTTATTCCATAAAGACACATATGCACATATATAATAAAACACAAACAGTCTCAGGTTTATTATAAAGTAAAATCCACATTTATTACAAATGTATGATGTATGTTCATTAGGATTAAGTTTATTTACAGTCTAATCCCTCTTTTACTTACTAGGTTTCCTTCTTATGTTTAAGTGACTATGAGCAATAAAAAAAACAACACAAGAAAAAAAGATAGCTGACATTAATAAAAACATTTGAAAGCCTTCCTGTAAAAGTTCATAGATAAACTCCTAGTCTAACAAAGCGGCAGAAAGTAAAAAAAATGAGAAAGTAAATAGCAGATGAAGTTAGCCTATTAGCAAGTTAGCTGGCTAATAGGGCAATGTAAATTACTTTACCTGTTCTAGTTGACAAAACTCCTCCAGAAATTTCTCAAGATTAACGCAGTTTAACTTTGTCATATTTTAAGCCCGAGAGCAAGTCAGTATAGTATTGTCTTTATTATCTTCCTCATAAGTGATGTTAACATGACGCTAACAAAGACCCCAGCTCGTTTGGGCATACAGCTAGCTTACTAGCAGTGAAGCGGTTTCTCTGCAGTGCTATGATGATTTAATATTTAGTAAAATAAATAAATAAAAATCTGCAGTTTATATAAATTTCACATAAATTATTACCTTTAAGAGAAAAAAAATGTATATGGTGACAGTTGTTACCATGTTCTATTTTTTTATTATTGTAAATAAAAAAATATATATTGTGACTTGTCCCCAATTTAGAATTTTTTTGATATTTTATGATTTTGACTTACTCAGAAGTAACCCAAAAATCAAGATACTTAGTAGATTGTTGGTTTTTACCAATGGCTGTAGAGTCACTGGTTTTTACATAAATAACGCAGAAAAACAAAACACATTTTAGTTTATTAAGACACATAAAGTCAAAATCTGATTTTTTATTTCATTTATTTGACAATATTTTTAGATTATTGCAATAACCATACAAATTAACACTGTTCATATACCTTTAGCTTTTACATTGCATCAAATGCATATAAGCCAACCAGAAAAAAAAAAAAAACAGCAAAAGAATCAATGCACTATAAACACAAATACTCACTAAGCAAAATAATTTCAGTTCATATCGTTTTGGCTTTAGCTCTCAAAACTTTTCACAGTTTTTAAGAACACAATATGTGATAATATTAATATTAAATTAGCATCTTACATTGAGCTCCTGTTTATCCTGTCACACATAAATCATGCTTTATTATTCTCTTTTAGGAATCAATATGTTGACATACACTGAGCATTCTGAAAAGCACAGAACTGAATGCATTGAGTTTGCATTGAGGCAAAGTTGATCTGACAGATAAAAAAAATGTCATTCAAAAGAAAATCAAAAAGAAGGTTATTTATTTGTTTCTTTTCAAATATTGTCTTTTCATATGTACAATATGCACAAGGATGTGGTGCCTTTAACATTAATGCTGATTAAAATGTGAATCTGTAGCATAGAAGGTGTTGCTCGTTAAAATATTGCAGGGAATTGTGCACCTGCAATCCATTTTTGTCCTTGTTTGGCTTACAGCACCAAATGACAAAACATTAGCAAAGATTTAAACAAAGAGGACCACCAGGGATGAAAGGAAATTAATTTTTTTACTAAATCTTATAAATGCAAATAAAATAAATACATGTATACTGGAAGGTGCACTTCATAAGCAATCAATATGAACTTTTTTACTGGTTAATACGGCTTTAACAAAGGTGGTTAGTTAAGTTGTTGCAGACCTGGTTTTCGACTGCAGCAGTTTTCAGCTTGAGCGTTCCCTTTTAATGCTTCCCTTTTCCACAATCAGAGTAAAACACATTTTTATTCAGTTCCTTTACAAAACTCTGCCAAAGGATGCAGTCAACATTTAACCTCCAGATTTTTAATTTGCACACTTCGACACTGAATTACGGTGTGATACTTCCCAGAAGGTTAGCGGTCAGGTAGCCGTCTGGTGTCGGCATGTTCTTTGGAATTATCAGATGTGGGGCTGGAGCTGAATTTGGTGACAGTAAGAGACTGTTCTGTCTATCAACACCTTCGACCACAGTGTAGACAGGAGCAGGGATTGGTGGGGGCGAGGTGGTGTTTGATTCATAGGGAGGTGACGGAAATGTTTTACAGGGTTCAGTCAGGTCCCCTGTGGATAATTCTGGGCTTGTTTTTCCTGCATTGAGCTCTGAAGTGTAGTCTCTGTGATCTGCATTCATCACGAGGAGCTGAAACTCTTTCTTCTCTTTCTCTACCACAATTTCATCCTCCTTCTCTTTACTAGGCATTTTCTCCCCCTCTGTCTGTTCCTCAGGTAAGAGCAACACCTTGCCCGATGACCTCACCTCACTCACCTGGGTGTACAAAGTGTCTCTGTCCGTGACGAATGAAGGAAGCTCCCCAGAGTTGCAGCTTTGGATGGGAGAGCTTGGCTCGGAGGTTGCTGCACATAATGTCTCCTGACTGAGGGCAAGATTTGGAAACAGAGGAAGGAAAGGTGATGGTTCTGGGTCGCATGGGAGATCTGGATCGCAGCAGCTTGCATGACCTGAATCGTCATCTCTGAAGACAAGTGATAGTGGGGAGCAGTTAGAAGTCAGGTGGTGGTTCATGAGACAGTCAGTGTCCAGTTCTGTCACTCTGTCGCTTTGCTCTTCAATGTCCAGATCGATAAATTCCATCCAGGGGTCGGAGTTGTAGAGCTCCGGCCTCAAATCAGGAGGACCACCCAGGATTGATGTCAATTCCCTAAGCTTCCCACTCTGTGAGAAAGAAAATATACCAATGCACTTACAGGCCATCATTGCAATTTAAGTCTTGTTTTTAACCTGTAGACTGTACTCTAGTGTATAGTCATTTGAATATATATATATATATATATATACACACACATATATATATATATATATATATATAGTTTTGTAATTAAGATAATCAAGTTATTTTAAGTGTCACAACTTTGGATAAGCACCTTGAGAAGTTCAGAGTCAATTCCTTTAATTTTGGGTCCAGGAACAGGAGGCAAAAGGATAACCATCCACCTTGGGGAATAAATAAAAAAAGAATACTAAATTCCACACAGTGCATGGAAGAAATTAGAAAACAGTAAACACAATTGACGTCTGAGCCTGTGGTAGATTTTCAAAGTTAAGCAGCCAAAACCGTTTCAGCTTAGCATAAAAGCCTAATAAATCTAAAATGCTTACTTTTCTTGCTGTGATATGATAACCAACATCAGGATTCCCACTAAACACAAGGCACCAAAGATGAGCAAAGCCACCACGGGGAATCTTGAAACTGATGAAAACAATGGACACACACACACACAAAAAAAAAATCACATTAAACTTCACATAAAACGTGAAATAGTACTCAAATGTTAATTCATGACAAATATAAGATGATCTAAAACTGAAAAGTCTTTACAACACCGTTTACACCCGGTTCAAACACTGAGTTAAACAGTGAGTTTACCTTTCGATGGGATGTGAATGAAGACAGATTTGCTGAATTCTCCAAACTCTTTCCCACCGAGCATTTTGCACCGAACCCGGAACTCATGATTGATGTTAGTTTGAAGCCCGTAAAGGGAGCACCTTGTACTCAAAACAGGGTCAGCCTGTGGTGAAAAAATAAGGTTTCAAAGTCTGACATTTAGGTTTCCTTTGACAACAATAAAAAGATTATTACCAAAATCAGCCAGTGTGCATGCTCCCCAAAAACCTTTTGAAAATGCATCAGAGCTCGATGGGTTAAAAACAACCCCCAAAACAAATCATGCTGGATATCTGTACTGATATGTACCGGGATAAGGTGCTAGGAATGAAAGGATGCCACATAATTTGATGGAAATGAAAATGATCAACCTACAGAGGGCCGAATTCAAAGACACATCAAAATCAAAGCAGGCAAGTCCATTTTGCCAAAATTCAACTGCAGCAACTCAAAATGATACCAGGTAGTTTGTATGGCCTCCAACTGGTTGTATGCATGACTGACACCATCATCATAACGAGATGATGGATGGTGTCCTGGGGGATCTTATCCCATATCTGGGAGTCACTGAGCTTGAAGGTGCAACCTGACAGTGTCAGATTGACCAAAACATAACTATTGGATTTAGGTCAGGCGAATTTCGGGGCCAGTCAGCGGTATCAATGTCAGACCCACAGGCTACCCTCCTGACATTTCTGATTGTTTGGTTAGAGACATTCACACCAGTAGCCTGTTGGAGTGCATTTTGTACCTCGGCAGTGCTCATCTTGTATTGAGGTTGGACTACTTGTGCAACCTCTTTAGGGTCCAGGTATTGCCGCATGCTAACAATAGTGACACTGACCCTAGCCAAATGCAAAAAAACCCCACAATTGCAAGCAAAAAAACCAAAAACCAAAAAAATAGGAGGTAAAAATGTTAGCAGCCTCCACCAGTAAAACAATTCCTGTTATTGGGGTTGTCTCATTGTTGCCCCTCTAGTGCATCTGTTGTTAATTTTAATAACACCAAAGCACCTGAAACTGATTAACAACCCTTCTGCTATTTAACTGACCAGATAAATACCCGAGAAGTTTGAAGTGCTACTTTAATTTTTTTGAGCTGTTTATTAGATTCATGACACACCCACCATTTCCCACACCCTGGAGCTGTTGTCACGGTGCTGAACTTCATACTGCAGCTTCATCCACCCTGTCTCCACACCTGAAGATGGAGGAGGCTTCCAGCTCAACAGTATGTCATAGTGGATGCCAGTCAAACTCACATTCAGCAGCATCCAGTTCAGGCTGACAGGAGGATCCGGTTGCACTGCGGAACAGAAGCTCACTTTAGAGCACTTTTTCATCAGTAAGGGGGCTGGTGTCAGGAAGTCTTCCACTGGACTGAACTAATTAATTTGTTGAGTAATAACAGACGGATCCTTACATCACTGTCCTCGACTGTCTCTTTCACTGCCTACATGAAAGCAAGCAAAGACCAGGACATTGCAAATGATTGCTGAACTTGTTTTTACAAAGCAAATGGAATACATGCACTGCTGTAATCGCCTCTTCTTGGAATTTGGCTGCAAGTCATCCTGAAGCAAGATTTCAAAACCTGACATCAAGCCTTTAGTCACATTCGGCCCGAGAGAATTAGTGAAGTCAGCCACTGATGGCTTGGCTCGTCGTCAATGTTCAGATTTAATCATGTTGAAACAGGAAAAGTTTTTCCCAAACAGTTGGCACAAAGTTGTAAGCACATTGTTGTAGATATTTCTATGAAAAATAGGCTTAGACTAAACAATAAAAAAAAGGGGCGGGGGGGAGAAAAAATGTTATGAAACTATCAGTAGATGAAAGTCATGTGTGCTCTGTGCTCTATAAAGACCCTAACTAAGCGTTTTCACAACAGTAAGTGAAAAACTTTGAGCTGCACGAGGCGTTAGAGGAAAAGCTGGAAGATATGTCTTTGCTCTATTTTTTAAATGTTCCATTTATTGCCCTTTGCAAACGTCAATACAGATAAGTCCTTTATAAATAAACCTTTAAAGCAGACACAAAGAGAGAAGAGGTGAG